CCCAAACCCAAACCCAAACCCCAAACCCAAACCCCAACCCCAACCCCAAACCCAAACCCAAACCCAAACAATATGAGGATTTTTTTAAAGAAATAGATTAACACTAGCTTAAGCATTGGTCTATGGTTGTACATAACAATGAGTTAAGGACGGAAGTTCGGTGACAATATTACATAGAGAGCTCCCTCCCTTATACCTTGTAATTTTAGAAAAAAAATTCGTTGAGCCAATATCTGATATCTGCATACACAAAACTTGTTTCATTTAAATTTCAACGATAATTTTCATTATATTACTATTATTATTTTTTTGATCCTGAAAACTATAAAGAATTTTTGAAATTAAATTAAATTTTATTAAACCATTACTAATAAGATAGCCAATTTTATTAGCTGAAAGAATTCCCTAATATATTTAGTTAACTCTAAGATAACATTAAATAATGCATCTAACTTATCTAATTATAATAAAATATGGTCAGTATAATCTGCACTTAATAGATAATCTAATGATATATGAGGAAATAGAGCATTTTTTATATAAAGCTGTTGATGTTATTTTATGATTATAAAAAAGAAAATTTATTAAAAATCTAATATTGAGGACAATATTATTTTTTTTAATTAATTCATAATCAAACTAATTTATAGGAATTCTATAAATACATGAAAAATAACAATATTTTTATCATTTAAGAAATCATTCTATGTTGTCTGAATTAAAAAATTTTTTCATATTATTGTTTTAAAGTATTATTAAATTCAAAATATGAATCAAAAAAATCAAATATTAAATTATGTAGTAAATGACTAAAATGAGAACAAACACTATATAGCTTATATATTAAATTGATAAAATAATATATTTCATTAAATTATCTTATAGTAGCACTAAGAAGATTTGGTTTTCTTATCTAAATTTGTTTGAATTTAATTTATTTTTATAGAAATGTAATAAATTGTGATGAATAACTAAATAGCAATGCTTCAAAACTATATAATATTATATAGGTAATATTTAATTTAAATTAAAAAAAAGAATTTTAATGTGGCACCATCCTTCTCAAAATATTATTTGAAAAACTTAAAATAAGATCTATTTTAGAATTAGGTCTTTCAGACTTTACTGAACAGTGTTGTTCATTTACATTAGTAGATTTTAAATAAATATGTTGCTAAAATGTAGTTTGATTTAAATAAAAATTAATATTTTTCATGATTTTTAAATATCATAACTACTTTTATTGGAAAACTCTTTTGATGATAATTTATGGGATTTAAAATATTGTATGCTTTGCTACATCTATTAATACCATATCAGAACTGTAGGAAAATTAAGAAGAAGTGAACTGCTTTAGAATAGAGTTTCTAGAGAGACTTGAAGACTAATTCATGATTTAATTATATATATAATCAAAGTCTGATCAATGCTGCTATTCATTTTTTGAGTGGACTTTATCTAATAAAAATGTAAAAGAATATTGAATCAAATTTTTAGATAACAATTGATTATTAATTAACTTAGTATCAATGCTTGAAACACAATAATATTAAATTAGAATATTAATAACGAACAAAATTAAGAGAAGCTCGTTAAACGTGTTTATTTATATAAAAACATTCTTAAATTCATCACAGTTTAATAAAGTATTTTTTCATGTTTGCTTTAAAAAAAAATAATATTTTTTAATATTACTAATATTTTAAAAATCAAAAACTCTTTTATCAACAGAATAAGCTTTTTTATTTGCTCTTAACCTATGTTAAGATTTTGTTTAGATATGTTTACTTACTTATCTCATCTAAAATCTTAATTTATTCTTGGGTTTTATGATTGATTTTGAGTTGTGGCTTAAAGTAAAAAAAAATGTCAGTAGAACATGTTCGATTGTTATACCATAAACATGATGATAAATACTATGAAAGCTAAAAATGATTTCCTATAGTCAAGAAGTTCTCCAAGATTGACCTAAAATAATCAATACCTTTAAACAGAATCTATTGTAAGAATTCTACATTCTATTTATCTCATTAAGATCAAAATTAAAAGTTCTCAACAGAAATTTTTGAGAACATAAGATTATTTTTTTTGGGATGATGCTATAAAAGTAATTGAATAATTATTTCTAATATAATTTGTAGACAAAGTTGATGGTTCTATTGCAAAAATCTTGTGATAAATGGATTGATAAGTATATAATAAATTTTTGTTGCTTAAGAATTATTAGTAATGTGAAAAGACATTCAGAGATTATTTAGATTGTATTTTTATTTTATCATAATATAACTATTATTTAAATATAAATACTTTTGTATACAATAAATTCTGTTCATTACAGAGTAGCTTATTATTTTACTTTTAAGCATTCTTATTGGAAATTTCAAAAATATATAATTCAAATAACAATAAGTATAATTAAAAAGTATAAGACATATTTATATAAATTTTATAATATACAAAAAATTTATCTATTCCATATAAATGATCATATCCTTTAAAGTAACTTTTTATTATTGAAGTTAAAAAAAGATCAATTTTAAATAATTATTTCGAATTTAAACTATAACTGGATCGAAAAAAGTATATTTTAAGAGTAATTACATCAGTTTGATTAATTTTTTCCATAAAATTTATATTATTTTTTTTATGTTCTATTAAATACTTATTGGATTGTTTACAACTACTTGTGGATCAAATTTTTATGAATTATATGAAGAGAATTTTGTAAATGATAATTTTGTAGATAGTGAAGGTATTTTTAATATCTAATGTTAGGATGGAATGTAAATAATGTAATCCAAAGTGTAGGTTAATGCAACGGTATAAAATTGTTTGGAGGTTATCAGGTATTTGGTAAAAACACAATAATTACAAAACTAATATCTCCACCTCCGCATTATGCAATTATGATTACATTAGAATTCTGGAAGTAATATTTATACAAACATATAGAATAGATAATTGGGATAATGAATAATTTTATATTTATGTCGATTAGAATCTAATATTTTCACAGATATATGGAGAGTCAAATACAAATTCAAACTTATGTGGAGATAATTCGAATGAAGAAGTTTAGTAAATCAGTATAACAAAAAATCACAATTATAAAACACTTTTTATATTAATGAAATCAAATTTATAAGGAATGATAGATGTAAGAATATCATTTATGAAAGGAATGGTGGGGAATCAGAAATTTTAAATTATATTATTACCCATGTCCACCTGGATGTCAAACTTGTACATCAGAAGATTAAGCTATTGATTGTCTTATTTGGATTGTCTAATATCAAAGTTTATTAGATGTATTATATAGTTAATTTTAAATGGATGGATGGATGATTTTGGAAGGAATTTAAACTAAAACTAGTTGTTCTAGTGCTTTTATTATTTATTATTATAGTTCTTCCTCTTTTGGGAGGATTTTCTAAAACTGGAAAAAAAAGCAAAATTATAAAATCAATAATTTTACCAGTTCATTGTTTTGTTAAAATTAAATTTAGTTTTGTTTTCATTGATAAATGGGAAAATGAATATGCTTAATTATATATAGATGATTAATTAATATGGTTTTATTCCCATAAATCAGTTGCAGAAGAAATAACGATTTGTGGTGGTAGTTTTGGTGAGAAAATATTAAATTAAGAGATTATTTTGCCTCATAAATAATAATTTTTACAAATGTAATTTACAACTACATTAAAAAATTTACCTTCCTAATAATCATTCGGTATAAGAGATATTTAAATATTTATAAGTAAATTTATTAATAATTTAAGATCGTCCATTTGGTTTTCCTTTTGATTTTACTTGTGAAGGTATATGTGGAAATGGAGAAATAGATAGATCTGAACAATGTGATGATGGAAATATGTAACCATTTGATGGATGCTTTAATTGTCAATATTCATGTGTTGAAGGTTGTTCTAATTGTATTAAGGAAATTTGTTATGAATGCTAAGAAGGATGGACATTTGATGAATTTACATGTACTGAAGATTTCTTTATAAATAATTAAAATTAATATGATAATGAATTGTAGTAATAATGTTTAGATAATTGTAAATTATGTATCTATGATGTATGTAATGAATGTGATATAGGATATTATCTAATCAATAATCAATGTAAAACAATTTGTGGAGATGGAATAATTGCTGGAGATGAAATGTGTGAATTAGAATAATAAGAATGTTTAAATTGTTAATTGAATTGCACAAAGAATTGTGATGTTTGTATTAAAGGTGAATGTCATTAATGTATAATTGGATATACATTTGATTATATTGAATAATATTGTTAACCTATTTGTGGAAATGGTGTTGTATCTAATGATGAAGAATGTGATGATTTTAATAAAGAAAATGGTGATGGATGTTCTAGTTAATGTAAAATTGAATAGAATTATATTTGTAAGAATTATTAATACTCATTTTCTGAATGTAGTTATGAAAAATATCCTTCATTCTAACTTTCATTAATTAGTACATATCATGAATATTAATATGTATCGATTTATTTTGATTAAATTGTTAAAACAATTAGTTAGACTGCTTTTTCTACAATGATACGTATGCGTTTAATAGGACCAAATGAAATATTTTATGATTTACATTTAATTCCTATTTAAGAACCTTTTGAATTAGTTTCAGCTGCAGAATACTTAGTGAAAATTGTAATAAACACTACTCTATCATAACCACCAATTTTAGAAGTAATTCTAGAGGATTAACTATTTAATTATCATGATGCTCCACTTGCTAATTAAATAAATTAAATAAAACTTAATCTTCCATAATACCTTAATGATGAATAAAAATAGAATGCCATTTACCTCTAAAAAGTAGCTAAATACACAATGATTTCAATGGGAGGCTCAGTGATACTCATATTGATAATTTGTGGCTAATTATTAATTCAAGAAATACTTGAAATACTTCAATAATAATCCTACCTTAGATTTATTAATGTAATTTTTCCTCTTAATTTATTTGTTTACTTTGAATCAAGTAATTTGATATCTATGCAACCTATTTTGGATATAGTTAAAATTGATTAAGTATTAACATAATTTATGAATGATTAATATTTGGAATCTTAAGGGAAATTATTATACTATGAAGTAAATGCAGATATTTTAACAAATATATAAACTTAAGTTTTCTTAATTATTGTACTTCTGATTACTTATTCTTCAAATTATTTAGTCATAAAACTTTTAAGGAAATTGAATAATTAACAGATGTTTTATTTTGGTCCAAAATTTGCAAAATTAATAATGAAAACTTTGAAGTCTTTGTATAAACAAAACAAAAACTTTGAAAGTTAAGTATTATAAGATTTTCTAAACACAAATAGTTGGGATCTTCTTTTTATGTCCTTTCTATAAATATAGTCAATATCCAACAACATTGTTTCCAAATTAATTGCATATTTCATTTTGTATATAATCCTCTTTATTTCATCTAAAATGTTTACAAGAATAAGCTATCCATTTATAAGGAATTAAAAATAATTATGGATTTCAAAATCAAATTAAATCAAACTATTAAAAAAAGTTTTATTCATAAGCATATTAGTAATGTTACAATAAAATTAAAAATTACAAATTATGTTATTAACTCTAGTTTCCTCATTCTATTTAATTTATCTTTTCATTATTAAACCTTTTAAGAACACCCTAGACTTCATTAATACTATGGTACTGGAAATTACCTCATTTATATTTTGTTCTTCATCAGCCTTATATTGGAATGTTTTTAAAGATAAATTGAATTATAACATTTAAATTTAATTTGCATGGTTTCAAATTGGAATGCTATTGTCATGCTTATTTGTAAATTTAGTTTTATAATTATGCATTTTATGCGTAGAAATGAAAAAGAATATAGTGAAAAGGTTTTATGAATAAAATCCTTAATAAAATCAATAGCCAATTAAAACAAATCCATTTTTAAATCCTTGAGGATTCATTTGATATGTGTTTAATAATGTAATCATATTTATTCATATAATAACAGCTATATGATTTTCCTGTTTTCTTAAAATATTATAATCACTATTCTGTTATTTTATTAATTTTATACATATTTTAATATTTTACTAATACTCTTGATTATTATACAATTATTATTTTTATTATTATTTAAATTCAATACAAAAATTGAATTCAAAAAAATATTTGATTTTTTAGTAAATAAATAGTCTGAATTATATCCATTTTCAAATTTTTGTCTTATTGATCCTTTTCAAATATTTCTATATAATATAATATTTGAAATGAGTTAAAAACTAAATTTTTATATAAATTGATATAAACTGTAATTAAAGAGATAAAAAAAGATTATTTAGAAAATTCTAAACAAGACTAAATTCTTATTCTTTACCAAAATCTTAATTGTAAAATCACTATTTCTTGAAGATTCTGAGCAGCATAATTTCTTTTTCCAAAATGAATTTAACAAAACGAATCAACAGAATATTTATGAATATCAGCACAAGAAAGACAAATATCTTTATTTAATATTATTTTTAATAAGTATGTCATTGTTGATGATAATTAAATTAAACTCTCTTACTTAATTAAAAATTTATGTAGTTGCATAAATAAAGATGATTCAAAATTTGAGTAAGGATTTTCTAACATTTCTTCGTTTCTTTAAACCAAGAGACACTGAATCAAACTCTTAATCTATAAAGTTAAAAAATACTTATTTAAATATCAAAAGAAGAATTAAAATTAAAAAAAATTTGTATCTTTATGCTTTTTAGATCAATATAATTTAAAATTAAAAAGGTAAATCAAAGTTTCTCTATTTAATGATCTTAAATACAAAGACCAACATTTTTGTTTGGTCATAATATCAAGCTAATTACAGTACATCCATATTCCAATTTATTCGAATAATATTTGATTTTTCTCTTATCATTTCTTATTAATATAAATTTATATTAATTTAAAAAAATTTATGCAATAAATTTTATTTTAGCTAAAAATAATTAATAGCTAAAAAAGTATTAAACCATTAAATATAATATCAATTTTATGTTGTGTTTGATATAAACTTTTAAGTTGAGATATTTTTAATATTAAATAAAGTACAGAGATAATAGATTTAATTAATATAAATTGAAGGGATTAATAATAATAACATTTTAATTAAATATGTACTAATTAAAAAACTTAACAAAATTGGCATGATGTTTAGGACTAGTAAATTATATTTAAATACTATATTCCTAATTAAGGAATGATAATTCTTATAATTAAATGCAGTATTATAATTTTCTAAGTAAAGAATTATTGAATAAATATTAGAACTTATAGATTCTTTTTTAAAGTCTAACAAAGCATATTTATCTTTATTTTAGTTTGCATATATTAATTTCATGAATCATCAACTTTCATTTTTGTTTTATGATACTATTAAGTTCAAGACTATATATTGAAAATCAAATATAAATATTTATAAAAGAATAATAATTATTATTTTTTCTACTGAATGAATTAAAGACACTTTATGAATTACTATTACTCTCATCTATTGTATGTCTATTTAATAATTTTATGCATACAATAATGATTTATGTTTTAAATTAATCTTTTGTGATTTATTTTTTTTGATTTCATATAAACAGAAGAATCCAACAATTGTATTTTCTCTTTATTATGAATCGCAATTGTATTTTTTTTTTTAAATTATTATAATAAATAATTCCAATATTGATATTCATTGCTTATTAAATCATTTAGTTTTTGATATACTTTATTTTTTTAAAAAGTCTAAAAAAATGAATAATATTGAATTCAGAAGCATATAAACTAAAAGATAAAAGAATAAATGGACTATTGAAGAAGATGATCTATTAAGTTCATCTATTCAAAAATATGGTACAAACTGGTGTTAAGTTGCTTAAAATTTTCCAGATAGAAATCCAAACTCTTGTATTCAAAGATGGAAAATATTGAAATGCAAAAATGTAAGAAATATATTTAATCACTAGAAAATAAAAAAGAAGAAATGGAATTAAAAAGAAGATAAACTTCTTTCAAAATTAGTAATACTCTATGGAAAAAAATGGAAAAAAATTTCAAAATACATAACAGGTAAAACCGATAAGCAGTGTTTGTAGAGATACAATAGTACCCTAAACCCAAATATCAATAAATAGCTTTTCACAGAGGAAGAGGATTAGATAATATACTCAAATTACATAATTTTAGGTTCAAAATGGTCTATAATATCATAGAAATTAAACAAAAGAACTGTAAATTTATATCATATTTAGTTCAGCCAAATTAAGTAAAAAATAGATTCTATTCTCATATTATTTCCTCTTATTTGCATCTATAAAACCCATATTATACAAAATTATCATCTTAATAAGCTAAGAATGTTTTATTATAAGTCGCTTCTGAACACAAATAAAAATTGCTTTTAGATAATTAAAATTTAAATACTTCAGTATTAGACAAAAGTCAATTAAGAAACACTTTTGATTTGATTGAGTCTTGCCAAGTAGAATTTGGAGATGATTATTCTAATTATCACAGACTTGGATGATGAACCAATAATATATTAAATAAAAATAATTTATATTTAATCTAGAAAATATAAATATAATAAGTTATAATTAGTGAGTCTTAGAAGAGAGATATTTTTTTTGATTATATTGGTTTTAGAATAAATTCAAACATTATAATAGACATTCATATTAGAATTTATTTATTATTCACTTTAACTTTATAAAGATTAGTAGAAAAATTTATTTATTTGGCTATTTAATACATTTTTGAAGTTAAGTATCACTGTTTAATGTATTATACTCAAACTTATATAATCATAAATAGGACGAAATCAATAATAAACTTATATGTTACTTTTATAACTAATTAGATTTTTAGTTAAAATTATACACAATTATTATATTCTATTACATAATATGGAAATTATCATGAAGTTTTTATTAAAATTATACATTATTGATTCCTTAAAATAGAAAACACTCCTAAAATCAAGGACTCTTTTGATTATTTTATAACTACGAATCTTAATAGTATTTGTTCTAATTAGAACTATGGCTAAGCAGTTTTGGAAATACTAAATTTTAATAGGAAAATTTATGGTTTAAAAGTAAATTATGGATAATTTTTTGTCAAAAAAATAATTCAGCATTTTTTTAATCTAATTAATAAAAGTTTTAAATTAAACTATAATACTATTTAGCTTCCTTTTTTTAGAGTTGTTTGTTTTCATAACAAATCATGCTTAATTTATTTTCATGTCCCTTAGCTTAACTTCTCCATTCACTCCATGTTGTAATTTCCAGTTATAGACCATTATTTAAACCAGAACTAATCTATCTCCTTCAAAATCTTCTTATGTTCCTTCTTGCCACCTTTGAATGATTCATAAGTATCAATCTTGCAAATTCTAAATATATACGTTTGTCCATCCAATACGCTTAAAGTTCGAATCCAAAAATAACATTTTATTTTAACAAATCCTGAACTCATCAAAATCATTATAGGCAATCATTCTTATTATTATATTTTTAGAATAATAATTATCTCTTAATAAGAAATAGTGTAAAATAAACTTATTTTATAAATGATCTTCAATTCTAATTACTTTTGGATATTGTGTCATGTTATGGTTTTCCTAATACAGAATGAATGAATAAATATTAAAAAGAGTGTCTTTTCAGGTAATATTTCAATAGAGTAATGAAAATTAACATTTATCTTGTCAAAGAATTCAAAGATTTGTTTCAATATTGGCTNGAAAATATAAATATAATAAGTTATAATTAGTGAGTCTTAGAAGAGAGATATTTTTTTTGATTATATTGGTTTTAGAATAAATTCAAACATTATAATAGACATTCATATTAGAATTTATTTATTATTCACTTTAACTTTATAAAGATTAGTAGAAAAATTTATTTATTTGGCTATTTAATACATTTTTGAAGTTAAGTATCACTGTTTAATGTATTATACTCAAACTTATATAATCATAAATAGGACGAAATCAATAATAAACTTATATGTTACTTTTATAACTAATTAGATTTTTAGTTAAAATTATACACAATTATTATATTCTATTACATAATATGGAAATTATCATGAAGTTTTTATTAAAATTATACATTATTGATTCCTTAAAATAGAAAACACTCCTAAAATCAAGGACTCTTTTGATTATTTTATAACTACGAATCTTAATAGTATTTGTTCTAATTAGAACTATGGCTAAGCAGTTTTGGAAATACTAAATTTTAATAGGAAAATTTATGGTTTAAAAGTAAATTATGGATAATTTTTTGTCAAAAAAATAATTCAGCATTTTTTTAATCTAATTAATAAAAGTTTTAAATTAAACTATAATACTATTTAGCTTCCTTTTTTTAGAGTTGTTTGTTTTCATAACAAATCATGCTTAATTTATTTTCATGTCCCTTAGCTTAACTTCTCCATTCACTCCATGTTGTAATTTCCAGTTATAGACCATTATTTAAACCAGAACTAATCTATCTCCTTCAAAATCTTCTTATGTTCCTTCTTGCCACCTTTGAATGATTCATAAGTATCAATCTTGCAAATTCTAAATATATACGTTTGTCCATCCAATACGCTTAAAGTTCGAATCCAAAAATAACATTTTATTTTAACAAATCCTGAACTCATCAAAATCATTATAGGCAATCATTCTTATTATTATATTTTTAGAATAATAATTATCTCTTAATAAGAAATAGTGTAAAATAAACTTATTTTATAAATGATCTTCAATTCTAATTACTTTTGGATATTGTGTCATGTTATGGTTTTCCTAATACAGAATGAATGAATAAATATTAAAAAGAGTGTCTTTTCAGGTAATATTTCAATAGAGTAATGAAAATTAACATTTATCTTGTCAAAGAATTCAAAGATTTGTTTCAATATTGGCTGAATAAAAAATAATTAAAAACCATTTGTAAGATTGAGGATGAGAATAAAGTGATTATTTTAATTATGGGAATTGAGACACATTCAATTCCAGAAAATTTTTTAGAAATGAAAAATGCTGATTATGTTTATTTTTAAGTTTTGTATTTGTTTCTCCGTAATTGCTATAATAAGGGGAACTAAAAAAAGAAAAATTAAATTATGATATCAAATTACTTAATTGCAACATGATGAAAAAATGCAAAATTAATTTCATTCATTAATTCAATAATATTTCTCAAAATTATATTATTAGCACAAGGTTCAATTTATTAATATTATATAATTTCATATTTATCTTTTGCCATTTAATAGTATGACACAATCTTTCCTTTTAATATTACAATTATATTATTTCAATCGACACAAATATATTTAAATAAATATTTGGAATATTAATCAATAAAACATAAATTATGTTGATAAATTCCATTTATAGGTTATATATGAATAATAAAGTTATCCATTTAACACGTTGGATACAATCTTTTGTATATCTAATTTTAACATTTGTCTACTTCTATACATAAATTATCTATGTGATCTTCAAAGAAATCGATTTTAATTAACAACATACTAATCCACTGAACTCAAAAGGATTGAGTCTGTAATACAAAATTCCACTCTACTTATCACTAGAGAAAAAGTTCTTATAAATTGAATCAAATTAAAAATATCATTTGAAAAAGTTGATATTTTATATAACTATTTTGAATAAAGTTATTGATCATAATGCTCATACTTAATATTCAGTTTCAATTAAAGCGTTATTTTATTAACTTAAATTAAAACCTAATTCATTTTGGAGAGATTTTAAAAGATTAATGTAATATATTATTGATCATAAAAATAAAGTATTTTTTTGAATAAAAATTTAAAAGGATGATATTTTACAATAAAAAATATTAAAAATAAGATGAAAACTAATCTCACATCATACTTAATATTTGATTTGACAATAAACCAAACAACAATATATTATGAAAATTTATAGTACTAGTTTAAAATTAACTGAAATAAATGCAAATATCATTCTATTAATCAACATAAATTCAATTTGAACCAAATCATCAATTTTAATTTCACAGTCAATTATATTGGAATCTTAAATAAAAAACATAATTTAATGAGTGCTAAAGCTAAAACTTATTGTAAAATCAAAATTAACTTTGTATTATATCATGTAAACTCTTTTTATTATTAAAAGTATGAATGAAATTAGAAATATTAATATTTAAATAATGTTTTTATTTATTTTACATGTTTCCATTCTATCAATCTAATTAAGCTTATCTAATGTCATTACTTGTCATTATGAAAAGGATGATTCACAACTTGTAATTGATAATTCAAAGCCATAACAAAAAACAATTAACCTTAAATCTAACTCAAATGAGAATGCTGCTAGAGGATTTGGATTTTGGTCAAAATATATAGCAACAATGGATTTTGATTCTTATAGCCAATATTCAAGACCTTTCGATATTTATTACTGTTAAATAGGATAATGTATTTTTAATGGATTTTATTTCATGAAAATTCTTGATTAAAATCTTGATAATATTGCAGCTATAATTCTCAATATGAAAGATGAACCAATTAGTTTAACTCATGATATACACTTATTTGCAATAGGTTAAAATGAATATCAATTTGCTAATTTTAATTTTGAAGCAAGTCAATATTAAAATATATGGTATTATACATCATTCACTTATTAAGCTTATGATCATAAATTAAGAATATTTACAAATTTTTAATGTTAGTTATATTCATTTGATTATTAGATAATGACTGATGAAATTACTATTATTTTAGGAGGATATACTTATGAATTAAATAAAAATTATGTTTTTTAAGGACAATTATTAATTTATTTTAAAGGATATTTTTCACCAATATAAGAATATGATTCATTTGTATACTCTGATGATTTTTATCATACTTTATTTTCTTAATGTCCAATCTAAGAATAGTTAACATAAATTAAAATATATGATGAAAATAGATTAATAGATCCAGGACTATCAATGTAGGATGATTTCTTTCTTCTTAGCTATGAATATAAAATTGTAAATAATCGATTCTTAATTAAATGTTGGGTTAAATAAGATTATTAAGAAGTAAAAATAATGTATATAATATTAAGGCTTTTACATACTATTACAATGAATATGGTCTAAGATTCTAATAACTTCGTTAAACATTGTTTCTTATTGATTCTTTAAAATATATTTTTCAGGAACTGTAGGGGGATAGACTTATTACTTTATATTATGAAGTATTATATAAAATAAATTAGGTTAATTTTGAAAACAATAATGAAACTATAATCAAATTATAATCAGAATTTACAAAAATACCTATTCTATTAAATTAATATAATGATGAGAATTTAAGATAATTTGATACAGTGATTATAAGGAAAGATAATTTATATGAATTAACTTAATAATGGCACTTTTTAGTAATAGAATACGGAAGGAAACCTACAAATGGAGCAACTTTACAAATACAATTATTTTTTTTAAATGAAGAACATTTAATTTATAATTTAGGAACATATGGTTATAACTCTTTGTTTACAGGCTAATAAATTATACAATATATTAATAAATAAGAGGATTCTTATATATAAAGTAGAACAAAAATTCGTAGTCTTAAATTTATTACAGGCTATCATTAAGACAATAATTAATAAAAATTAGGTATTTTCATTTATATAATTTGAGAATGCCATCCAAATTGTAATAGTTGTATGGGACCAATGAAATATCATTGTAAATCTTGTTAAACTGAACTCAATTATGAATTTACTTAATATAATATTTGTGAATGCAAATATCTTACTTAATTAACTGAATTACAAAAATGTGAACTTATTGAAAATGTTTAATAATTAATAATTTAATAAGAAAAAATAGAACATTAATGCAATTTTGGATATTTCTAAGTAAAATATAAAAATGAGATATTTTGCATTGAATGGTATAATAAATCTATAAAATAATTAGTCCAAAATATAATGAAGAGAAATTATAATGTGGGGATTGCTATCATAATTAATTTACATGGTATATGAAACCAGTTTGTACATTTGATTATATATAATAATCATCAGAATATCCTTATATTAAAATTAATAGATTAAATATTAATATAGATGTTTATTATTTAGACGATCAATTTTAATTACATATACTTTAAGGAGCTGCTGATATATGTGATGACAGTCAATTAGATTGCGAATATAGTAAAGATTATCATCTAGGTTAATAAATTAGAATGATATGCAAAAATAATCACTTTTTTTCAGATAATTAATGTTAAATTTGTGATCCATATTGTATTGATTGTTAATCTAAGGATATATGTCTTAATTGTATTGATACTCATTACTTTAATAAACTTACTAAAAGATGTTAACTTTGTCCTTTTGAATGTTTAAGTTGCATTAGTGAGCATAATACTGAACTTGGATATCGATGCTTAACTTGTATTAAGTATTATACATTGACAAAAGATGGAACATGTCAAAATTGTGGACTTAATTGTGAATATTGTCGAGAAGAATATAATAAAAACACATAATAATATTTTTTAAGATGTCTAAAATGTTTATAAGAAAAAGTTATGGCTATTAGATTTGATGGTATTACTTGTATAGTTATTGGTATTGAAAATTGTCAATAAGTTATGATTATATCAAAATCTAATAATTGGGCTTATTCTAATTATGCTTATAATTTTGAACCTACAAATGATTTTAATGATGAATTTCCTATTTGTGGATTATGTGAAGAATATTATGGATATGATACATATTAACAAATTTGTCAATCTTATTATTATGATCCAATGTGTATTCATACTTATTTTTCTGATTATTTATATAATGGTGCAATTTACCCTTATTAACAGATTTGTCTTGTGGGTAAATTTTAAAATATTCCTGCAACTTAAGGAGATTAGTGTACAGAAAATATTCCTAATTGTAATATTTGCTTTAATCAATCATAATATACTCCTTTTTATTGTATTGAATGTAAATAAGGATATTATTCAGATCGTTTTTCTGGATAATGTTATAATTGTCCACTATCTTTAAATTGTAAAACATGTTATCATTCTATTATACAATTTAATGATGAATGGAAAGTCAAACTTAAAGTTATAAATTAAGTTTTGAAATAATAATCAAATCCAAGATATTTTGTATTATAATCATTATTTATTTTTAGTTTACACAAGATGAAAGTAATAATCCTTAAGATTACAAATTGATATGTTCTTCATGTAATGATGGCTTTAAATTATATGATGGAAAATGCATAAAATATTGTGATTCAAACTGTTCAAATTGTTAATATTAAGATGGTTAATATTATTGTTTTTATTGTGGAAAAAATAATTATCATAATTTATTGAGTTTAATTTAATAAAAATGTTCAGATTGTCCTAGTTATTGTGAATTTTGTAGAGAAAGAACATAAGATGAATTGGTAACATTAAATTCAAATTATATGTTAAATGAAAAGAATGCAATTTATTCTTATTAATGCTTAAAAGCGTTTTCCTTTAATCAAGATCTTTATTATGATTAAATTTTTGGATAATTTATTCCTTGTTAAAATTCAATTGGTTGTGAAAATGTTCTTAATTATGAAATGAATTTATACTGTTCTAATGAAGAATATTATAAAACTCTATCATTAATTAGTAATTTAGATTAATAAAATCAATTTAAAATGAACAATATACTATTTGATTCACTGTTATAATCTAAACCATAATAATCTAGTTTTGCTGATGTAATAATTAATTAATAATTTAAGTTAGAAGTTGATTCTAAATATGAAATTATGAATAAGAAATTTATTAGAAAAATGAGAATTTATTTAATATCCAATCAAGAATAAATTTGTTCAGTTAATTAAATAAGTTACATTTCCTAAAAGTTTTCCAAATTTGTATTTAATTTAATGTAATTATATTCTTATAAAAAGTGATGTTTAATTAATAATAACATCTAAAATTGAAAAGCCTTTAAAAATAAAAGTTTATTAAGAATTACACTTTTTAGATTTTTCTTATTTAAAATTTGAAAATATTTAATTTGAAATACAATATACTACTAACATAAAACTTATTAGTATTTAAGGATTTAAGCCAATAACCTTATAGATGGAAAAAATTGATTTTTTACCTTCAGACCAGAAACAACCTTTTTTATTCATTTTTCAAGGTAAATAAATTTCTTTGATAATGTTTAATTTAGTTAATCTTTAAAATTCATTATTATAGAATTAAAATTCATAAAGTATTTTTTAACTATCATTTCAAACATCAAATGCATAAGTTCAAATTAAAAGATTTTCAATCTCTAATTGCATTTTTTAAAATGTAAGTCTATTTGAATTTTCTTCAAGTCAACCAATTTCAATAGAATTTGATGTAATTAAAATTTTTGCCAATTTAAATACATGTTCTTTTTTGATAACTTCAAAAATCACAGAAATAATGACTTTAAATATTCAAAATCTATTGATTTCAGGTTTAATGTAAAACTCATCACCTTTTATAACATTAAATAATACATAAATAGCTAAAATAGAAAATTTAACAATAAATGAAATGAAAATGATAGATTCCATTTTTATATAATTTGAAAATTATGCTGTTATAAATAATATCCAAATTAATTAATGTCAAACTTAAGGATTAGTTTATATTATCTATAATTTTATACCTAAAGAAATGAGTAATCAAGTAAATTTAACTTACTTTATTAATTAAATTAGAATAAAAGATTTGAATTTAAATTATCTCTCAAAAGTAATATATTTATTACCTTTTCAATCTTTTTCATCTTCAATAGATATTTAAAATATTCTACTTTAAAATACCTCCTAATATGACCAAATTAATTCTAAAATTGATTATGTTGATTCTTCTATTATAAATATTAAATTGTAAATTGTTAAAATTAAAAATTGTACAATTAAAAGAGGCTTTGGATTCATTGAATTTTTATTTGAAAACATGTAACAGTTAGAAATTATAAATTTTTATGCATTATAATTGAAAAAACATTAATTGCATTAATTTTATGATTGTTCTAATTTATATTCAAGTTTATATTAAAGCATTATTAAATTATCAGAAGTACAAAATATTTATTTTGAAAATTTTGATATAGCTGATTTTAATATTATCAACTCAGCCCTAATTTAACTTTAAAGTTACGCTTAAATATTCACTTAATCAAAGTACTATTTAAAGAATTTTATAATTCAAGAAAATATTATTATTGTTTCTCAATCAGATTAATTTGCTTCTCTAATTCATATTGATAGCAAAATTTAGACTTAAATTATATTAGTAAATGTATAAATTAAAAGAAATTAATTGCATAATTATGGATAAAATTTATTCATATTTTCAGCTGTAGGTATTAAAATAAATTGTCCTATTGGAGATGTAATAATTGAGTCAAATTTATTTAATTCTAATTTTGCAACAAATTCAACAGATACTATAATAAACATTTTTGCAAAAACAATTCTTATGAATTATATTACATTTTTAAATAATTCTGTTTATGCCATAGATTTACTTTTGAATAATATTGTTCATAGCTTCCCTAAAGATGAGATAGTGAGGATTGATAATTTAAAAAACATCTTTCCAATAATTAGTGAAATTGGAAATTCATATCTTTAAGCAGAAACTATAAAAATTTTTAATTGCTAAGTAGAAAATTCATCTGGAAAAAATGGAGTTGGGTTTTACATAAAAGCTCTAAATACAAAAATAATAAATGTTACTTTTAAAAATTTGAAAACACAATTCAAAAATAATTATGAATATGGAGCTTGCTTATTTATTGAAATTCCATTTTAGAGATCTTAAATCTATCTATCAAATATTCATGTATAAAATGTAATTTCTAAAGATTACGGTAGCTTTCTTTATATAAAATCAGATTATGATTATTTGAATCTGACTCTTAATAATCTAACTTTATAAAGCAGCGTATCATCAAAAGGATCAGTACTTTATGCATCCTTTTAAAAAACTTCGATATCAAATTAATTGAATATATAAAATATCAATATAACAGATTAAAAAGCTGCCTTTTATGAATACCTTAAATAGTTAATCTATAATCCAACTATATAAATGAATCTAAATAGTAGAAGTTTTTTTTATATTGAAAATTCTGTAATAAACTTTTCAAATATATTCTTATCAGATGCATATGGAGAATCCTTACTTTACTCTATTGATTCTGGCAATATTATTTTGAAAGAAATTATTATATTTAATGGTATAATGCCTAAATTAAGTTTATTATACATACAACCGAGAAATGGTATTGTATTATAGAGATTATTATAGATTTAAAGACTGTGATAAATATCAAAGGATTGAAAATTTAAAATTTGACATAATATGAGATTTCAGGTCAGAGATGTTACCTATCTGGATTAGTTAAACCTACAAAAATTTTAAAAATGTAGTGTTAATTTGAAATTCAAAATAATAAATTTGAAATGGATGTTGATGATGTTGATAATTAAGTAATAGATTGTTTACATAATCAATTTCTTTATTCAAATACTAATATCTAACAAGCTATACTGATTATTAATTAGATAAAAGATACTGATATCATTTAGTTATTTGATATCTATTTGATGAATAATAATAACTCTTTTTCAAAGAGTGGAATTATGTTTTTGGAATTGAATAAACAAAAATATAAGACTTATTAAATTTATATTAATAATTTAAACATTAGAGATAATTAATGTGGATAAGTAGGTTGTATATATTTAAATTCTGAAATTTATAATTATAACTACTCATTCTTTAATGAATCTAAAAGAATTCTAACATCAAATTCAGAATAAATATTAGGATAGATTAAACACGATATAATTATAAATAATTATAAATGTTTAGGAAATTAAGCAGAATTTGGAACATGTTTATTTTCTAATTAATCGAATGTACTTATATAAAATTCAATTCTTTAAAGTAATGAAGCATATTAAATTGGAGGGATAATTTATTTTATAGGATTAGAATCCAAATTATTCTTAATAGATTGTTAAATAATCAATAATTATGCATAAATTGCTGGTGCAATCTATTTTAATAATAGTATAAGTTAAGATATAAAAAGATTTGAAACAAATTTTGTTGAAAATCGTGCATATTTCTTTGGAAATGATCTTGTTTAAGCTCCAACTAATTTATCAATTACTTTAAATAACTATAAAAGTATTTTCAATATATATCCTATCTATGAAACTAATGACTGTTTGTATGAATAATTAAAAATTTTAAATAATGAAAATGGAGTAATATTTTTACCTAGTGGAACTCCAATTCAAAAATATTAAAAATTTAATTAAATTTCTTAGCAATTATAACCTTTAAACTTAACTTTTAGAATTGTTGCATTAGATAATTATTATTAATAATAATATAATTTGATTAATTCAAAATGTGACATTGAAACTAAATTATTTGATATATAAAAATAATAATTTATTGAAACTTAAAATCAAACATTTATATCATAAAATTCTGTGTATTTTAATACAACTACACATGATTATAATCTAGATGATTTGATTATTTTTTTTGATAGCGATAATACAAATAAATTATACTTATAATTAGCAATTACTTGTGATAGTATTAAAATAAAATAATATGATTAAAGCAATATAATTGTAAAATCATTTCACTCTAATTATAAATTATTTGTTAACCTTAACACATTTTAATGCAGAATAGGTGAAATTAAATCTTCATCAGATATGTCATGTCGAGAATGTGCTTCAGATTTAGACTAATATTCATTAACAATTAATTCAAATAAGTGTAACATAAGGGATGAATAAACTACTATAAACGTTACTTCTTTTTAATTAAATCTAAGAAAAGTATTTAATTAGTCTATTAATTTAGGGATTTTGGAGACCTTATTTTGATAACAATTAAATTGAAGAATGCTATAACTTGAAAGAGAATTGTCTTGGATAATGGGATTATGGAGATAACTCATGCTTTTTAGGCCATATAGGAGCATTGTGTGAGTAATGTGATAATCAAAATATAAGAGGACAAGGAAAATATTCAAGCGCTTAATAATATACATGTGGATCTTGTGAAAATATTAGATTTAATTTACTTTAAATAATTGGATTCAGTATTTGGTAATTTATATGATTATTATTTAAGGACTCTAATAACTATCGTTCTTAGTGTTAAAGGGGCAATAACAACTCAATATTATTTTCTAGAATCTCCTTACTTAATTAAGATATTTACTAATTATTTATAAATCATAAGTTCTTTAACAACATTCAAATTGAATTTCCCAGTCAGTTATTTCTATTTTTTAAATGGAGTTGGGAGTCCGATACAAAGAATTTCCTATTCAATGGACTGTTTTTTAAGTATAAAATTATGATATTTCTTTAGTTGATTTATCATCAATTGAGATTCATTACATTAGATTAATTTGGTAATTAATACTTCCATGCATTTACTTCTTAATCCTAGCTATTTTTTATTCTATCCTCATATATTTAAATTAAATTAAATATAGAGGACCTATTGTCATGACAGCAATAATCTATATGTATATTTACTTTTAGCCCAGCTTAATAGGATCATTGATTGCTTTAGTTTCAATTCGAAAAATTTCAGGTATTTCTTGGATCTAAGCCAATGTTACTTATTAATTTGATACACTTGTTCATAAAAATTGGGTATTGACATTTTGTATTCCATTTCTATCTCTTTTAGGTATTCTAATACCATTAGGATTACTTTTAGGATTGTATAATTAACGACATAATCTTATTTACAAAAGAGGTAAGAATCTATTTGGATATCTTTATTATGAATATAAACCTTAGGCTTACTTTTGGGAAATAATAAAGATTATTACAAAAGAACTTGTTATTTTATTTTTAATTTTTTATGAAGACTCAATAATCTTAAAAGGTTCCCTAATTTATTTTATTCTATTATTTTATCAATAATTAAACCTTAAATATTAACCATTTAAATCTTATAGATTGAATCTATTGGATTATTAATCAACATTGATTTGTGGGGCTTCAATTATATTGGGAATAGGACTTAATATGGAATATGAATTTAAGAGCATTTCTAATGTTTACTTTATTGCATTGTTTTTCATGAATGCATTTATACTTGCTAAATTATTGCTTTGCATTATAAACGCCTATTTAAATGAAATGGAGGACAAAATTGATTTAATTAAAAATAAAATTTAATCAATTTTACCTTAATAATTTAGGATCAGTAAATAATGTCATAGATTGTTGGAGCTAAGATCAGAAAAACGGAAAAGGGTAATCAAAAATTTTAGGAGATTAAAATCTGCTTATAAATAATTTAAATAATAATCTAAACAGTAGACTTCTAATATAAATATATTTAATACACAAAGATTAACGTAATTAATATCATTTATAATTTAGAAGTTAACTTACTGAAAGAGATCAAAGATTAAGTTAATAAATACTTTTGTTTACAACATAATATAAATGAGAGAGCAAATTTGACATGTTTATTATTTACAAATTTATATAATTAATTTAAACGAATCTAATTTATTATAATAACTAATTATTTCATTTCATAAAAAATTATAAGTTAGTTAATCCAATTTTAAACAATATCTAAGCGTGTTGCAACGATTATATTTATCTAAAATTTTGCTGAAAAATCAATGAATTTGTATCAAAAAAAATAAAATAAAATATTTTCATTTAAAAAATTTATATTGATTAACATTTTATTATAGATTATATTATATACTTAATATATTAAATTAATTTTTTTAATTATGTTATATATTTTATATATATTAAGTAATAAATATCCATTTTTTTAATTAACAATATTAAATTAAATATTTTATATGTATTTAATAATAAATCATCCATTTTTATTAATCAACATTATTCAATAATAAACTCGAAAAACAATAATAGTTTTTAAAAGTATAAATGAAATATTCAATTTTGTTTTTTGTTCAAGTCATAAATTCATTATAATTTTGAATTGATCTATAATAACAATATTTAATATTTTTTTTTATTCACATGTATTAATTGTGTATTCGTTTTATAATTTAAATATTTTTGATTAATAAAGTAATTTATATTTTTTAAAACTAACAATGTATTATTACTAAATCATATAAAAATATTTAAGTTATAAATTAATATAATTATTTATTTAATTAACATTATTAAATATATCATTTAATAATGTTAATTAAAAAATGGATACCAAACAAGAATATTTGTATTATAAAATGATATCCTAATCGATTAAATATTTCCTTCAAAATTGTTAATTTATAAAAATGAATAGTTTTTTACTTAATCAATCAAAAATATTTAAATTATACAATTGATATATTTGTAACTAAATACATCTTTAATATTCATTTAAACTGTTTATTTTAAAAAATGGATAAATTATTACTTAATACACATATTAGAAACTTCATTTTATTTTTGTATCCTATAAGGTTTGCTTACTTTTTTATTTTGTATTTAATTATTTGATACCAGAGTCTATTTAAATAGTTTAATTCAAAATTTTTTGTCGCAATTACAAGAACAATTTGCAATTATTAGTTATAAATAAAACACCTCATTAATCATCTTTCAACAAGCTAAAATACTATTCATATATTTATTACTAATCCGCTATATTAATTTATAAATGAGTAAAAGAAAATATAGATTAATACCTTCTGTTTTGTTTTTAATTTGATTTTTTAATACAAACCAATTATTTCATTATCTTTATATATTTTGCAATTCTAAACTTTTCTTAATACAATTATCAACCTTACTGCATGGTTTTCTATAATTAGTATAAACTACTTTGAATTAAACTCTTCTTAAATTGAAAAAAAAATTAAAGGATTTTTTAAATAATAATGTAAATGATATGAATTCATTCACTTTAAACTTCTTCCTATAGATTGAAATTTAACCTAAAGACTTATGATCTTAAATCTTTGGTATTACCTTCCTTCTAAATTTAGGAAATCTCTTATAATTAGGTATTTAAATGTTAAAATCTTCCTATCATATTGGTCTATTTCTACTTTTCTTCTGACCATTATGAGGTTAAATTATAAATTTATCCTTTATCTTCAAAGATTTTCTTAGAACCCTTTATTCAATAGTTGAATTTAAAAATCTGACTTCTTGTCCTATGATTTGAAATATTTCTCTGTTTAGATCATTTTTTGTGGCTTTTTTTTTTATTAAATATGCAATTTTTATTTCTGATTATTTGCAATAAAACAACTTTCATAAGGCTACTCCAAGCAAGTATGAACTGGTAATGCAGGCAGAATTGAATTTTTTTGGCAGGTAATACCCTGAACAAGGGTGTACAAAAACTTTATATCAAATATTACAGGGTTATCAGAAATTTCTACACAGTAACTAGCTTTTGACATAATTTTACTTTAAATAAGATCGTATTGCTTGGTTGAAGAGTTTTGTTTCATCCTCTGAAATTGAAAATCTTTGGAACTCATACTTAATTCTCAATACCCTTTATCAACCATTTTTTATTACATAACATAAAAATTGGAATTAAATAATTTAGGAGATCTATGATTGAAGCTGGATTGGTTTATAAGCAGGTTTAGAAAAGAAGCTCGGGGTTTTTTTGTCATAGAGTGATAATAAACAGTAGGAATATCGCATAAGTATATTATCATACATTAAAGAACAGTATTAAATAATATACATTGATGAAACAATCTTTAATCATTAATCTCATAACCCTAAATGTTGGCAATCCAAAGAAGAAGTGAAATTTAGAAGATTTACTCATCTTAAGAAACATTTAAATGTAATCGGTGGAATTGGTGATAATGGGTTTTAATTTTTTATATTGAGGCAATGTCAATCAATATGTAATTTTTAGAAAAGCTTATTCAATTTGCATACTAAAACTTCAATTAATAACCATTTCTCATTATTCTCGATAATTGTCCCATACATAACAGTAAATTAATACAATAAAGATTTATACATAATATTAATTGCGTATATCTGGCACCGTATTCTCCAGAGTTAAACCCGATTGAGAAAGTTTGGAAGACATTAAAAAGTAATATATATAAAAAACAACCTCGTGATTTACAATCTTTAATTAGAGTCATACATAAATATTTACAAAACAATATGGGTGGAGTAATTGACAACTGTATAAAATTTAATCAAATAAATATTTGATAAAATAAAATAAAATGAATCAAATAAATAATAGAAAATAGTTTAACCAAAAATTGAATATAATTGTGAATTGCTCTTACCTATTGAAGAATGCTCACTTCAAAATGTTCATTTATTAATTAAAGAATTTAAAATATTCCTTCTTATTTTTGATTTATTATTTAATTCTTAAGGATAGTAATAATCAAATATAATAATTAAATCAATCTATTCTGAGTTGGTAAATTATTAATTACTGTGTTCTACATCTTTAGTAAATATTTGATTATATAATTTTTCTAAATGTTCTTCTGATAGTAAGGATCATTCTAGATATTAATCTAAAGCATTTAACCTTGACAAGTTTTTTATCAAATTAAACAAAATTCTTCCTTACTTTAGTTTTGCTTAAAAAATTTGATTTCCGTCTACATAATTTATAATTCATTATGTTTTTATTTATATTTTCGAATTAAGAATGTTAAATTAAAATATTACAATACTTTTAGAGGAAAAAAATTGGATTATTTAAATAGTGCTTCAATAACAATGGGGAGGTAAAAATTTAGTCTATGAGTTATTTTGAAAAATATTAGGTATCATTATTTTCAATATACAAAGTTGTGTGAGATGTATAAAACAGGAGTGGATTAGAAGATATTTTAATAATTTGTAAAACATTCAAATATAATATTCACATAGATGTATTTCAGAAATACAGAAATTGAATCTTTCATTGAAGAATTTCCATACAAATCCATATGCTTAAAGTTAAATTATGAATCTACAATATGACATTATTTAACCTTCCATTATTTTTAATTTATAATGAAAGCAATTGATAAATCCGATCAATTCAAAGATTCTTTCCGAAGTAAATTAATGACTTAACTTAATCCAAAATGCTCTCTGATAACAGAAACTTTGTTCTGTTGAGGATAGACTGTCCTATCAGGAAACACATAGCCAATATAAGTAATTATTTATAAAATATAATGAATATTAATAGAATAAATATTCATTATATCTTAAAATACTTACCGATATTGTATATATTTTAGTAAATAAAATTAATTAATTAAATTTATACTTGCTTGATATAAAATTTAATAGATAGAAAACTAAAAAGAAAATATTTAATTATAGAAAATAAGTCTTTAAATGGTCACCTGATAATATCAATAATATTATAAATTTAGATTATTAAATTCAAAATATTTGAACGAGGACAAATAAGTATCTATCCGTCTCTTTAGACAATTTTATGATATTAATCAAAAATCTCTGTAAGAAAATTATCTACTTAAACTAAAAATTGAGTTGCTCCTAAAAATCTAAACCAAAAATTTTAAAATAATTTCATCTCATTACTGGTTAATCATTATAATAATTAGTATGAAATTATTACATAATATTTCATAAATAACAATATAAAAGTAGATGATAAAATCAAAAATTTAATTATTTAAAAAAATTTATATTTTTATACTGTTTCTTTACATATATAATGACATTATTCTGTAAAGATGAACATATCTAAAACTAAAATATAATATAATACATTGTTAAATTATATTTTATAATGAAATATGAAAATTTAAATGATGAATTTCTAATTTTATAAAGTTTATAATATGTACAAATTAGGTTTATATCTAATAGAAAAGAAAAAATAAGAGATAATGTTAGCATTTCAATTTGTTAAATTAATCCAACTATTTACATGAAATTATTTAGACATCTAAAAATTCAACCTGATATGATTCATTACCATAAATGGGTTAGAATTTAGTTACAAGATTGATTTAAATAGTTTATTCAAATTTTACATTAAATATAAATAACTTAGGTTGAAAAATTGTGGGTAATTCTGAAATGCATATCATTTCCCTAAGATTGTAAAATCATTTTTAAATTTATAATATAAATTTTTATTTGCTTTGCTTTACATTTCGTTTATCAACTTTTTATGATTTGCTGACTTTGATAAGCCATCCCATCATTTGAGATTTAGCTTCTCATCTTTAGGATTGATATAGTATTTTATACCAAAAAATACTAGGATCAGGTCTCGAACTTTTATCCCAAATTAAATCAATTTTGGATTTGATTATAAATTATAATGTTTGAAATTTTGTACAATCTGAAATTTAAAATTTTAAATCTAGTTAACAATATAAGCATTAATTAATATATGGAAGATTTAGAATAATATAAACAATAAGCCTAACCAGAGTAGTAAGAAATATAACAGCTATAATAAACAAATGAGTTTTAAGGATAATTAGAGAAATA